GCTGCTGCCGATGCTACTGCTGCTGTCACCGGTGATGATGCCACCCACATTGTTGCTACTGCCAAGTGATGCCGTTGCTTGCTTGCTGCTGCAGGTTGTTCTTCGCAACTGCTGCGAATCATGCTCGAATTTGTATGCGTTGCAAAGACAAAGAAAATGAAATCTCCAATTTGACCTAGAACAACTGCACCTCTTCCTCCTTCCCTCCCCACCTCCCACCCCCCACCACAACTGCTTCCCCCTTTTCAGAATTCCCCCTTTCCATTCACTTTCCACCTCTCCCCAACTGTCTTGCATCTTCCTTCCTCCTCCTCCTCCTCCTCCTCCTCCTCCTCCTCCTCCTCCTCCTCCTCCTCCTCCTCCTCCTCCCCCTCTTCCTCTCCCTCAACCTCCTCTCACCTACCTATATTATCGTTCTGTTGGTCATTTGATCTTCCTGTTCCCTCACCGATCCATATATTTGCACACCTACTGATGTTCCTTCTGGCCCATGAAAATACTAGTTCTTCAATTGACACCCGCTTGGATCGCACTTGTTGATACAACCTACTCACCCTTGCATTTCTGCCCCCCACCTCCCCGTGACTCCCTTTTCTGGCAGCCATTACCGAAACACAAAGCCGCATAGATGCACTACATCGTGGTGATAGGGATGAGAGGGAGGAAGGTGCAAGAGATATCAAAGACATGGGACGCAGAGAGTTGGTAGAGGCACACAATTCGGAGGCACAATATGATTTGGAAGGGCGTGAAGACGAGACGATTAAGCAGGATCGTGGAGATCAGAGGCATGATTCGGAGGCTCGAGATAATATGGAAAAGCGTGAAGATACGACGATCAAACAGGATCACGGAGATCAAAGGGGTGATTCGGAGGCTCAGGATAACGTGGAAAAGCGTGAAGATACGAGGGATGTGGGGATCGTGTGGATCAGACAGGATCATGGAGATCAGAGGTTTTATCCAGCAAAGAGAAAGCTTCGTGATGGCTTGCAGGGAGGCAACAGAGCAGAAGAAGCGCAACAGGAACGGCTATTGATTCGACTCAAAAGTCACGGAGACAATGGAGCAGAGGAAGCACAGCAGGAACGGCTAAGGGGCACAACTGGGAAGCATGATGGGAAGCATCTTCCATTTGCTGGACAGGTGGTGTCAAAGGAAAGCAGAGAAGATCGGCAGTTTGAGATGTCGAGCTCTCAGTTGCAGGGTCCAGGGATGGGTGGCATAGAATGGAGGGCCATGAGGGGAGAGTGTGAAGAGGATAGAGTTCAGCTTCAGCTCCTTAGTACAGAGCCATGCAAGGGAAGGGGATCTATTGAGCAGTGCAAGGAGGAGGAGGTGATGAGAAAGAGAGTGAGAGTAGAAGAGGAGTCTATTTTTGAGGCGCCTAACAAGTTGTATCCATGCAAGGGAAGAGGATCTACTGAGCAGTGCGAGGACGAGGAGATGATGAGAAAGAGAGCGAGAGTAGAGGAGGAGAAGGGGTTGAAGGAAGGTGGCTGTGATGGTGGCGATGTTGGGAGGGGCAGTGGGGATGGGGATGCTGATGTGGATCGGAATGGTGGTGCTGATGTGCATGATCGTGCGGATGAGCATGATCGTGTGTATGTGCATGGTTGTGCGGATAAGTATGGGCTGCTGATGGAAGCATGGGAGAAGGTGGGGAAGAGATGTTGTGAGATGCAGATGTGTGCACCAATGCTTTCGACGCAGCTGGCGCTTGGCCTTGGGAATCGTGGAATGAGAGAGAGTGCTGGGGAGGAGATGAAGGAGGTGGAGGAGGTGGAGGAGGTGGAGGAGAGGGTGGAAAGGGAGGGACGGACCACAAGTCCGGGGAGAGTGGAAAGGGCTAGTGCATGGCATGAGAAGGCAGATGGGCAAAATCCTGGGAAGGAATCTGGGAAAGAGCAGAGGAAGGACGACGGGAAGGATGAAGAGAAAAAGGACAGAATGGAGCCAAGGAACAGAGCGAAGGGATTTGGATCAGCAGAAATGAGTGACGATCATCAACGAGAGATGAGGGAGTGGGGTCGGGAGCTTGGTGCCCTGTGGGAGGTTCGAGCGAGGGAGAGTGCAGCAGTAGGTATTGTGAGAGCAGCAGAAACTGCTAGGAGTGTTGCTGTGGCTGCTGCTGCTGACATTGCCATGACTAAAACTGCACCCCCTGCTGCTGCTGCTGCTGCTGCTGCTGCTGCTGCTGCTGCTGCTGCAACCCCTACTACTTCTGCTGCTGCTGCAAATGCTGCTCCTGCTCCTGCTGCTGCTGACACTGCCATGAATGATGCTTCGGCCTCTACTGCTGCACCCTCCAGCGCTGATACTGCAACCCCTGCTGTTGCTGCTGCTGCCGCTGCCACTACTGCAGGTGCTAACGTAAATCCTATCATAGATACACCGGTCCCCTCTGCCGCAGCTCCTTTTGAAGCCACAGCAGGTGGCATGCAACGCACACTGACATTCTCCTCCTCGTGTGGCAGTGATGCAAACAGGAGTGACTATAACAAAGGGCTCGCAAGGAGTGACCAAGGTAGAAGAGATGGCGAGTTTGGAGTGGCAAAAAAGGGGCTGGAAGGAGGGGGCATGGAAGGAGCAGAAATAGGATCTTTTAGGCGACTGGGAAACCAAGGTAGCAGAGATGGCGAGTTTGGAGTGGCAAAAAAGGGGCTGGAAGGAGGGGGCATAGAAGCAGCAGAAGCATGTGCAGCAGAAGCAGGTTTTTTTAGGCGACTGGGAAACCAAGGTAGCAGAGACGGCGATTTTGGAGGGCCAAAAAAGGGGCTGGTGCGAGGAGAGAAAAAGGAAGCAGCAGAAGCATGTGCAGCAGAAAGTGAGGCGGCAGGTGGGGCAGCAGTTGGGGCAGCAGCAGGTGCAGAAGCAGGTGCAGAAGCAGGTACAGAAGCAGGTACAGAAGCAGGTACAGAAGCAGGTACAGAAGCAGGTACAGAAGCAGGTGCAGAACCAGCAGGTGCAGCAAGAACTCCAGAAGAGGGTACAGAAGGAGCAGGTACAGAAGCAGCAGGTGCAGCAACAGGAACAGCATCAGGAACAGAAGGAGCAGGTTCAACAGCAGCAGATGGAGCAGCAGGTACAGCAGTAGTCACAACAGCAGGTGCAGCAGCAGCAGGCGCAGCAGCAGAAGGCGGATGTGCAGCAGGAATAGCATTAGGTATTGAGTCAAACGTTGGTACAGGAGTAGGCACAAGTTACAAGGTTGCTAGCAGCGGCTGCACTGGGTCAAATACACCCACACAGAAACTACAAGAGGTTTTGATGGAGGGGAAACGGGAAAGGGACTCAGGAGCAGGGAAACGGGAAAGGGACTCAGGAGCAGGGAAACAGAGGGAGAGTGTTTCGGAAGGAAAAGTTGCAGCTGGTGCAGGAGCAGGTGCAGCAGCAGGTTTCGGCAGCAGCAGAGGGAGGGAGATGAATAGTCCATGCGAGCAGAAACGGAGGGATAGTGTTTCGGAAGGAAAAGGTACTACTGGTGGAGGTAGCAGCCGAGGAAGGGAGAGGAATAGCCCATGCAAGCATGAACGGAGGGATAATGCTTCGGAAAGAAAGGTTACTACTGGTGGAGGTAGAAACAGAGGGAGGAAGAGGAATACTTCGTGCGAGCATAAACGTTCGGCTAAAAGTGTCACTAAAGCAGTAGCTACTAATGGGAGGGAGCGTCACAGAGGGAAGTCCTGTGAGGGCAAAAGAAAGATAGAAAGCGGAGGTGAGAAAGCAATGAATATTGACAAAAGGACAAAGGTGAAGGAGGGAAAGAAGGTGGGCGGTATCAAGAGGGCCAAGACAGAGAGTCCAAAGAGAGTTTGGAGTGGTGTGGAATGGTTATCTGGGAGTAAGGATGGTGGAAAGAGTGATGGCCACAATGGTAGTGACAGTGGCAGTGGTGGCGGCGCCTGCGGCGGTGGCGGTGGTGGTGCTGTGGATAATGAGTTTGATGTTGTTAGTGAGGGTGGTGATGCACGTAATGATGGCGATGGTGGTGAGGACGATGGTGGTGGTTATAGTGGCAGCGGCAGTAGGCAAGGTGGTGGTGGTGGGGGCAGTGAAAGTGGCAATGGCAGGTGCGGGGGAAGTGGAGGTGGGAGTGGCAGTGGCAGGCACAGGAGAAGTGGTGTTGGTGGCAGTAGCAGTGGTGGGGGGGGTCACAGTGGGAGCCATCACACTAACAAGGATGGTGGCTCACGAAGGCTACACCTACACACACGGAGAAAGCAGCGGCGATCCTGGTCGCCGGACATCCACAAGCGATTTTTAGGCGCACTGGAAAAGCTCGGCGGCTGCTATGGTGCGTATATTGACCTTCAGGTATCCTTGAAGTGCTTTTGATAATTCTCAAACGCGATTCAAGCATGCAGGGAGAAAGCAGTGGCGATCCTGGTCGCCGGACATCCACAAGCGGTTTTTGGGCGCACTGGAAAAGCTTGGCGGCTGCTATGGTGGGTATGGAAACCGAGTTGACTATTGAGTCGACTCGAAACTCGATTTGTGGATGCACTAGAAAGGCACAGTAGCTGCTATGGTGCGTATGCAAACATGAAAGTAGGATTTGAGGCGTGTCAAGACAAGATCACTTTCACATTCACAAGCGATTTCTCAACGCACTAAAAAGGCTCGGAGGCTACTATGGTGCGTATTCGAACCTTCTACTTATCCCCCCTTTCTCCCTTTCTCCCTTTCTCCCATTCTAGCGATGCTGACTCCTCTTGACGTTGCCACATCATGAAATTGGTTCATGCTACCATGCATGTGACATGCATCATCCTCACTTCTTACATGTGCAGGATACTCTGTGTCCTTAGTTCATTTATTTGAAGTAGTGTTTTGAGACGTCTCAAAACACTACTTCAAACTCATGCTACCATGCATGTGACATGCATCATCCTCACTACTTACATGTGCAGGATTCGTTTACTCGCTCATCTCTCCCCCCGGGCTTCCATTTCTTACTCTTCATTACAGTGGCTACACCCAAGCAGATTAAAGAGCTAATGAAAGTCGATGGTTTAACAAGCGACGAGATCAAGAGTCATTTGCAGGTAATAGATTTCTCTGTCCTTTCCAACCATGGATATACCTGCTCCACCACTTTGCACTGTGCTTCACCCCTCTATCTCCTTCACAGCATCTCTCTTTATTTCCTCCTTATAAGACAACGCCATGTCACCCTGGGGTAACTCATCCGAACTCACCTTTCTGATCTCTTTTTCCACACTCAGAAATATCGCCTTCAGAGTCACCATCCTCCTGAAGAGGCATTGTTAGCTGCTGCAGCTACTGCAGCTGCTACATCAGCTACAGCAGCAGCAGCAACAGCAACAGCCGCAGCAGCAGTAGCACCAGCAGTAGCAGTAGCTGGAGCACCAGCAGCAACAGCTGGGATCTCAGCAGCAGCAGCTGGGGGATTAGTTCCATTAACAGCCACAATGGGGGGGGATGGAGGATTAGCAGCAGCAGGAGTATCATCAGGAGCAGCAGCATCTACTGCAATGCTTCCAACATCAGCAGTAGCAGCTGGGACTGTGCCTCAGGGACACGTGGCACCTCCTCATTTGCTGGTTCTGGGAAGCATTCTCGTGCCTTCATTGGCTGGCCAGGTCCCCCCACCAGGAGCGCCTAACTGGCTCAGCCATGTCAGCAACATGCGCCAACCTACACCTGGCCATGTCAGGAATGCAGAGCAATCTACACTCCATCACATACTGCAGCAGCAGCAGCAGCAGCAGCAGCAGCAGGTACGAATTGCAGAGCTGCAGAGCAGCCAGGTGGCACCGCTTGATCCTTTCTGGCAGATGCAGATGCAGGCATACCAGCATTTTCAGCAGCAGCAGCCACAGCACCAGAATCAGGTGCAGCAGCAGCAGGCGCCACAACAGCAGCAGCAGATGCAGCAATTACAGCACCAGCAGCTGGGGACACAACAGTTGCAGCCATCACAGCAGCAGCAGTTGCAGCAGTCACAGCAGCAACAGCTGCCGATGCAGCAGTTGCAGCAGCAAAATTCCCAACAGCAGATGTCCCAGCTACAGCTTCAGCTGCTGCAGCTACAACCGCTGCTGCAACAGAAACAATCACAGCAGCAGCAGCAGCAGCAGCAGCAGCAGCAGCAGCAGCAGCAGCAGCAGCAGCAGCAGCAGCAGCAGCAGCAGCAGCAGCAGCAGCAGCAGCAGCAGCAGCAGCAGCAGCAGCAGCAGCAGCAGCAGCAGCAGCAGCAGCAGCAGCAGCAGCGGCAGCAGCGACATACACAACCACCTGCAGAGCAGACTTGGAACCATTTGCAAGGGGGGTTCCATCCTGCAGCTAACAGCCTTGCCCATTTGTTCTCACCTCTTTCTTCTCCAACTGCTCCCACCAACCCTGCTGTCCTTCCCACCAACCCTGCTGTCCTTCCCACCAATCCTGCTCTCCATTCCCACAATCATGCTCTCATTTCCACCAATCCCGCTCTCCTTTCGCCCAACCATCGAGTCCTTATCACCAACCCTCCACTCCCTCAACCAGCCCCTGACTCCCCTTCGCTTCCTTCCCCCTTGGTTCGCCCTATTGCCCGCTCGTTCAAAAGGCCCACCAGCGGTGGCGCTGGAGGGCTGCCTGGGCAGAAGGCTTGATGCCTCTAAGTCGTAGAGGAGTGGGCTTTGCAGAGGAGGACTGATGGCCATTGTAACACCGGCTGACAAAGGTGAAAAGACAATACATGGAAGTGGAAGGGAAAGAGAAAATGGAGAGAGGAAGTAAACAAGATGGGAAAGGGTGGTGAGGGTAAGGCATAGGAGTGGGTGAGTGGAGGGAATTGAGGTGACCAAATAGTGCTGTATTGCAAGCATGATCAGCTCCAACCGCCGGATGCAGTGAAGAAAAGTGGTCTTTCCTCTTAATGATTTGTCTTGTATATAATTCATTTCACTGAAGCTAGAGGGCATACGCCTCGTATCAAGCAAACCTCATATCAAGCTCACACTGAGAATTCCCCTAAACCCAAAATCCTTCGCTAGTTACCAGGCAAGTCTGATATGAGGTTGCCTGATATGAGGCGTAGGAACACGCTCTGATACGTCGTACAAACATTTGTGAATAATTCTTTGGTAGTACGATTCCTTCTGAACATCAAATTACCTAATTGTAAAGTCATAACATACCGTGTTCTTCAGTATGCCCCCAATTCTTGTTGATGCTGTGACTGTTTTGTACCTTTTTCCTTCTTTTATGTTGGTACCACAGAATATGTACAATGTTCAGCGTTACACTTGTGATATGACAAGGAAGGTGAGCTCCAGTCTCAGTGTCCGTACAGATCGCAACGTGCTCGCCCCCAGCATTAGCACTAGAAGCATATATGGCATACATGCCTATAGAAATCTTGTTCAAATCAAGAAAAAATATATCAACGCCCCTCTTGAGCAATCCTAACCAGTCGGGGACCCTAGCCTGCTCACTGAACTCGCCGTGGAAGGTGTGACGAGGCGGCAGAAACAGCGGGCCTCACCGTGCCCCATCTTGCCGCAGACGACGCTGACCTAACGGCCAGTGCGACGCACGTACGGGCAAGGACCAGTAGCAGAACCTCCACCGCCGGTGGAGCCCCGCTGAGCAACCCACTCACGAAGCTGCTGCGGCGAGGGAGTCTCCTACTCACGTGGCTGCTGCTGCTACTGCTCCTGTCCACCCCCAGAACCGCCACCTCCACCGGCTGCTCCACCAAACGCGGCTCCACCAGATGCCACCTGTGCCACCACCCTCGCCAGCTCCACTACGACCACCACCGCAACCCCCTCCGCCACCCCCACCACCCCCGCTCCCCCCACCGCCACCGCCACCTCCACCACCCCCACCACCCCCACCCTTCTTACGCCCACCCCTGTTGCGCCTCCCCCTAGTAGCACACGCAGCATCGACCTCCTCAACACCGAGGAAGTCAACAGTAGCAGCAGAGGCAACAGAGGACGCTGGAAGGGAGGGAGTGCACCCCTCAAAGAAGGAGGTGTTGGGGGTGCCACGGGAGGCAGCTACAGCACGGGCACTGGTCTTGGCCTCAAGGAGACGAGTCTCAAATGAGGCAAGGTCGAGACTAGCGGGGTCGAGGGAGAGGAAGTGGTCTCGAACAGCACGAAGGGTGTCAGGGAGGCGAGTCGTGAGGAAGTACAGAGTGAGGTACATGGGGGGCTGGTTCTCAGCCAGAAACTCTGGCTTGAAGGCATCACGGTAACGAGAGTCAAGGGAGCGCAGGTGGGTCATGAGGTCAGCTACAGTGGTGAAGTCTGACAGCTCAGGGAAGAGAAACGGCAGCGCAAGACGTCCTAGGGTGGCAGAAGAGGGGGAGGAGTAGCGCTTAACCACAATGTCATAGAAAGTCTGGGCCGACGTCACCTGGCGAAAGTGGGCCCTCTGGTCGGGCGAGAAGTGAGCACGGACTGCAAGCTTGGCAGTAGCGTCGCGCGCCGTCCATTGCGTGCAGGCAATGCGGTCAGCCCGGTAATGCTTCTGCACAGCCTCCATAGCGGTAGCAGCAGGCTCAAGTAGAGTCTTGGGGGCCTTGAGGGACCCCGACGTGTGCTCAAACAACGAGACGTCGTCCTTGGTGACACTCTGCATGTACAGGTGCAGGTCCTCTAGCCAAGACTCGAACTCGATAGGGCGCCCCTCTGCGTCAAACGTGAGCACAGTAATGGTCGCCATGGCGGAGATTAGGTCAGGCGGCAACACTAAGAACTATACGATGGCACTGGGGACTAGCTGCAGTCCAGGAAATAGCTGCAGTTCTAGGCACGGGTGGCGGCTCGGGGTGCAGTGGAAGAGCGGGCAGTACGGCAGTAGGTACGCTCGGCGGCTGGCAGTGCGGCAATGCGGCGCGGCGTGGCGGTAGGCAGGGCGGCCGGTGGCGCGGCGCGGCGGTAGGCAGGGCGGCGCGGGGGCGCGGCGAGGCAGCGGGCAGGGCGGTGCGACGGTGCGGTGTGGTAGCGGGCGGCAGTGGGCAGCGGCAGGCCGGCAGCGGGCGGCTAACTGGCGGCAGCGGGCGGCTAGCGAGCTGCAGCGGGCGGGTCACAAGTCAGGCGCGGGCGGCTGCGGGCGGGCTAGCGGGCGTGGGCAGCGAGCGGCGGGCGGGCGGCTAGCGGGCGGTCAGCAAGCGGCAGCTCGCACAGCAGCGACAGCAGCACGCGCGAGCAGCGGCATCAGCAGCGGTAGTGCGCGAGCAGCAGCGGCAGTAGGGGTGGCAGCAGCACGCGCCCGAGTGGCTGGCGGGCGGCTAGCGGGCGGGCAGCGAGCAGCAAAGAGCCGGGCGCGAGCGGCAGCAGGCGGTAGCAGCGGGCAGCAGCGATAGTAGCAGCAGCAACAACGTGCAGTAGCAGTGGCAGCAGCGCGCGCGAGCAGCAGTGGCAGTAGGAGTGACAGCAGCGCACGCGCGAGTGGCTGGCGGGCAGCTAGCGGGCGGGCGGCGAGCAGCAGAGAGCCGGGCGCGAGCGGCAGTGGGCGGTAGCAGTGCGCAACAGCTCGCACAGAAGCGTCAGTAGCAGCGGCAGCAGCGCGCGAGAGCAGCAGCAACAGCGCGCGCGCGGGCAATAGCGGCAGTAGCACGCGAAGTATCAGTGGCAGCAGTGCGCGTGAGCAGCGGCAGCAGCGCGCACGAGCAGCAGCAGCAGCGCGCGTAGTAGTGGCAGTAGGCAGGGCAGCGCACGAGGCGCGCAGCAGGGCAGTGGGCAGGGCGCACGCAGAGGCAGCAGCGCGGGCAGTGGGTAGACGGGTCTAACCTACGATGATACCATGTTAGAACTACGAACAGTGGAGTGATTGACTAGGAAGGATGGGTGATACAAATACTAACCCTAAAAGGGTTGTACCCCATACAGGATACCTCACTACATCCTATAAGTAGTTACCATAAACACTACAGCCATACCACACATGTCAAGGTGCATTTGCTCAGCATGGCTTGCCAACAGCAGTTGCAATGCATAGCAATAATACACTCCCCCCCAATATGTCAAAAGCAGTGCGCTGTAGACGCACGGAATGCTGAAGTTAGTCACGACACATGTCTGGGTATGTGTGATAGCTCTAAGGTAAGCCCCAGCATGGCTGAAATCTTAGGGAATTTGGCTACACATGCCAAGGGCTTCTTTGTTGAATATGGTATCTTGACTTTTCAATGCAGGAACCCTAATTATTTTAGGCGGAGTACTACTACTACTCTTTACAGTTCACGATAACACTTTCTGTAGCCTTTGAAATTATAGGAACATACATATGTATACATGGTATTTCTTCTTGGTTCTTTGAGCCATTTTTTCCGACCCTCCTTTAGACTGGGTCTGTCAGAGGTCCACTGGTGATCCCCGATTGATCCTAGGGAAGGGTTACAGGCTCGTTGTCCTGGGCGCACTGACCCGCTACTTAACAAGCCCTTTTATCCCAATGGTCTAGTGGTTGGGATTCTAACATGCTATCAGAGTAGGTCGTTCCTAGGACCTCACATCAATGGGCCCACCACCTAATGCCCTGCTAGCCTAGGCCCCGGCCCGTCGCCCCTTGGCGTCGCCCCTAGCCCCTAGGCTCGGCCCCTTGGCCCCGTCGCCCCTAGCTGTGCCCCTCGGCCCCGCTGGCCCCGTCGACTCTGTCGCCCCGCGCCCGGCCCGTACCTAGCCCGCGATCGGCCCGTACCTAGCCCGCGCCCGGCCCCGTCTCGTGCCCGCGCCCGGCCCGAACCTAGCCCGCGATCGGCCCGTTCCTAGCCCCGTGCCCGGCCCGTACCTAGCCCGCGCACGGCCCGTACCTAGCCCGCGCCCGGCCCCGTCTCGCACCCGCGCCCGGCCCGTACCTAGCCCGCGATCGGCCCGTTCCTAGCCTTGCACCCGGCCCGTACCTAGCCCGCGCCCGGCCCGTACCTAGCCCAGCGCCCGGCCCCGTCCCTCGCCAGCGCCCGGCCCCGTACCTCACCCGCGACCGGCACGTACCTAGCCCGCGCCTTGCCCAGTCCCTCGCCAGTGCCCGGCCCCGTACCTCGCCCGCGACCGGCCCGTACCTAGCCCGCGATCGGCCCGTACCTAGCCCGCGCCCGGCCCCGTCCCTCGCCCAGCGCCTGGCCCAGTACCTAGCCCAGCGCCCGGCCCTGTACCTAGCCCGCGCCCGGCCCGTACCTAGCCCAGCGTCCGGCCCCGTACCTAGCCCGCGCCCGGCCCCGTACCTGCCCAGCGCCCGGCCCCGTCCCTCGCCCAGCGCCCGGCCCCGTACCTAGCCCGCGCCCGGCCCATACCTAGCCCAGCGCCCGGCCCCGTACCTAGCCCGCGCCCGGCCCCGTACCTGCCCAGCGCCTGGCCCCGTCCCTAGCCAAGCGCCTGGCCCCGTACCTGCCCAGCGCCCGGCCCCGTCCCTAGCCATGGCCCCGTCGCCCCTAGCCATGGCCCCTCGCGACCTGCCGCCCCTAACCGCGGCCCCGGTGCCCTGTTGCAATATGGTGGGTGAGGGGGTGGCAAGAGGGGGTTCTTCCAGCCCGCGTGCCCTAAAGTCGCACGCGCAGCTCCGCCCCCGCCCCCCTCCCCCCCCTCCATGGGGACGGCGGGGAGAGGGTGTGAGGGGGTGGCGGATGTGCCTCAGCAGCAGCAGCTGCTGCCCCGCC